AAACTGTAGAATAGAAGCCTTGGACTAGGTAATGGTTAAGGTTCCTTCTCTCTCTGATTTATTCTAATAAACTAAGCAATTCCTGAAACATTCAAAAAAAAAAGTGTTTCAAAAGAAAAAAACCCAGAGCTTTCCTCAATATATTTTAACAGTACTGCCTCCAGTTTATGAACTTCGGCTATGGCATGATGGGCTGACTCCATGTGTTGAAGAGCATTATTCCCAAATTTAATTATCTTGGGGCACATCACTGTGTAGGATAAAATGAGCCATTTTGTTCATCACAACTACATCCTTTGCTGAAATGGAGGTTATGGGATAACAACTTAAAGGCTAACTCATTAATGCTCAGGGATGGATGTGGTAATGTGCCAGCAGACCAAACTGGTGCTCAAATATTTTTATCTGGAGACCTATATCTCTTTCCCATGTTGTGATATATTAACAGGGATGTCTTTATCTATTGTCACTGCCTGTAGACATTTGAATAACATGGACACAATGCCTGCTGGGCACTCAACCACATCCACTATCAATTTCTCAAACTCTGAGGAGCTACCAGAGGCTTGGAGCAAAATTCTGATGGTGCCATAAAATGCCTAGGTTATAGAGATTCAAATGATGGCATCTGTGCAGTCCCCTGCTTTTTTTCTCATAGGTGTTTACTAGTGAGCACTGTGCCATTCCAAACTCTTTGGTGGGGATAGTGGAGTAAATTAGTCTTCCAAATCGTGAGGACTGTGGATTTATGCCTAGCTGAAAGCATTCCCGGTCTCAGAATGTTGAAGAGGGTGACCTTTCTGACGTTAATTTGTTTCTCCATCTGTACCATGCATTTTGGTAGGACTTGAGGAACAGGCTTGATGATACCCAAATGTGTTTCCCCCTTGTGTATTGCTGGATACTTGCTCTGGGTGTCCCTCTAGTCTTTGTTAAAATTCTCTCTTTTGGCATCTGCTAATATTCTAGCCCCTTTACTGATCTAAATACAGCTATGCTTTCTTTTGCCAGTGACAATGTAAATTTGAATGGTTTGAACGAAAAATAAATTTTGAGACCTATAGGCATTTTGCTAACCTGAATAATAGCATTTGAAAAACTGATCTATGCAGTTAGTTTTCCTAAATTTTGTAAGATGACTTTTTTAAGACTTACCCAGATGCTGTTGAAGATTGAAGAAGAAAGACTTATTCCCAACAGTCTCCCAAGATCTCTTTACCTGTTTTAATTTAATTCAAATTTAGTAGAGCTTGAACAGAGTAAGACTTTGTATGCATTGATACAAATTCTAATTTTATGTAATTACTTTTGAAACCTGATATTTTCTGGTAAACTCCTTTGCAAAGAACTTTCAAGATCAACGTTTTTATTAAAAACGAATGCTAAATATCACACATGCATTATTCATTTATTCTCACACAACTGCTGAAATGGGTACTGCATCATTTTTCCATTTCATATAGGAAGTCACTGAAGCTCAGAGAATTCAACTGATTTTCCTAAAGTCACACAGCCAAGATATTGTAAAGCTTGGCTTTGAACTTCGTTCTATTTAGCTCTGACTCCAGCGGTCCTTGCAGATATATGTATAAAGATTTTGTTTTTGCAAATGTCTTGAAATCTGGGATGAAATTGAGAGGCCCTGCTTTTCTGTCCCTTCTTATATATTTTTGATGTCATGGTCACTTCACGCCAGCCCTAAGGCATGCTGAAAGAGGAAGGAAAAGACACTTTGGAGCAAGAGAGATCTCTTGGCACCTTGTTCCCTGTGAGGAGCCTCCTTTTGTACTCAGCTTGGAAAACCAAGCCTGAGGACAAGTATTCAAATCTCAAGAACCTGTTTCCTTGTCTCTTTTGGTGTTGAAGCCTGCTTACTTTCCCCCCCCCCCCCCATACCATCTCCATCTGCTTCCGGTCTGGGCATACTGGCCTTCCTAACTCTACTTCTGTCCTGTATTCTTCTGGTGGCTTGAGAGGGTTGAAGGCAAGCAAGACAGTGTCAGTTTTGCTGGCAGAACAGCAGCATATGATTGTTCTTAAGTTTAGTCCTGTATCTTTGAGCAGGAGGCAATGACAAACAGTTTATTCTAAGGCCTTTGATTTCCTTCGTAATTGTAAGCATCTAGGCTGACTCATCTCTCAAAGGCTTCTCTCTCTCTCTCTTTCTCTCCTCTCTCGGCTGGTGTTGTTTTGAGATTTTCTTATTTGTGGGGGGGGATTGATTTTCACCTTGGTTTTTGGGTAAAAGAAACAGCTTTACTCTTTGGATGACCAGATCTGGTAAGCCTTGGCAAGAAGAAATAGCTGCAACTCCAAAGCAGGTATAAACATGTCTGAATTGGGGAAAGGGGAAAGGGGGAGTAATGTAAAAAGAAAAAAATTTAAGCCAGAGCTAGGCTGTATGTGTCAGGATGAGACCCTTGGCTAACAGGCTCTGGATCAGCTATTATGAATGGGCAATTGCTAGGGACTTAGTCTGGGACTGAGGTGGATGCTGTGCACGTGTCTTTGGTTAAAATGATCATTTTGTGGATGCAGTTTGGTAGTTGGGCTTAGGCATTCACTTTGGGTCCAGTGAATGGTGTTTTGCAGTTGAAGGAGCTTTAAAAATTCCATGCTAAGGATTTTCCTCCTAGCTCTGTTCAAAAGCCATAGAAAGACTCCTTATCTTTTTTCATACTGCACTTCAGTTATCTGGTAAGAATTTATTTTTGATAAGCGTGACTTTGGCTATTAAGTAAAGTGAGCAAAAGAAAATTTTGGAAACGAAAGAAGGGTGGATTTTGGTGGGTTGGTGGGTTTGTGTGCTTGTTCTGGACAGAGCTCATTTGTTAGAATGATTGTTGAATGATAGCTCCTACCTGCTTTTCCTCTGTCAAAGCCACATTACTTGATTTTTGGGATTTAAGCCCCTTACTCAACTATAATATATAAAATATTACTGTAAAACTCCATGACAATGGGGAGCTCTGAAAAATAGCATGTGACCCCTTCCCTTCTTGTCAAAAGGTTTAGTTACCCATGTCCCATATTATCTTCTCTGTCAAGAGCCAGAATCCACACACTCACCCAAACCATAACCTTTGGAGCTGTCCTAAATTCTTTCCTTCCTATTACAATTCCCCTAAGCTCTGTCAATTCTACCCATAGAATCCTACCCCTGCCCCAGCCCCAGTGACACTGGCTTATATCAGCATCCCTTTGCCTCTTGGCTGATCTATGTACATCAGGCTCTATTCAGAACAGGCTTTTCACTGCTTTCTGTTATTTTTCCAACTGCAGCTCTGACTCTGTCCCTCTCCACTTAAAACCCTGCAGTAGTTCCCTACTGCCTTCAGGAGAAAGTCCAGCTGCATAAAATGGCTTACAGGGCCATTCCTGAGCTCCTGCTTGCTTATGCAGATATATCTCTTAACATCCCCTTTCTACAGCTTGAAGAGTATGACAACCTCTCTCACATCTCTTTGCTTTGGACAAGCTGTTCTCTTCCTGGATGACCCCCATCCTTACCCTTGTAGCTGTCTCTAGGCAGATTTAGATGTTTCCTCTTTTCTGCTCTCACAGTACTTTGTTTCTATCTTGGTGATTGACTTCTCACACGGTTTTGTAAATTGTTACCAACCTGTGTATCTCCTTCACTGCACTGTTAAACCCTTTATGAAAGGAATAGCTTTATTTACTCATAGCTGAATCTTTAGTGCCCGGCACAAAGTGGGTAATTAATACAGGTTTTTTTTTTTAAAAATGAATGAATGAAAGAACAAATGAGTAACAGAGGCCAGGATGTGCAAGGAAGAATGCTGTGTGGGGTTCAGATAGATCCCCAAGGGGGATCCTATGCAGCCTGGAAGCAGCAGTATGGGATAGTGGACACCATGGAGAAAGGACATAGAAAACAGGTCTGCCAGAACACTAAGACAAACTTCACTCTGATCACCAGTCCTGTATTGGGAGTCTCACTAGAATTGGCTAGGAAGTGATGCTTGTTTTGGTGCAAACTGATGTTTGTTTTTTTTTTTCCATGAAAAACGTAATATAATCAAGTTGCATAATTTTTAGTAAATAGAGAAAAGGCAAAGGCAAACAAAATCCTACCACTTAATACAGATGCAGTCCATATTGGGGTGCATTTCTTTCAGTCTTTTATTTTTATGCAGACTTTCCTTCACATGGTTGTAATCATAATTAATACAATTCTATATTTTGTATTTGCTGTTTAAAAGCTCCTTATAAATATCACTTTAATGATTACATAATTTTCCAGACTGTGGTCATTCCATAATTTATTTAACTAGTCTCATAACTGGGCTAGCTTTGTTCCCTTAAATTTTTTTTCCCGTTATGGCTCATGTACATATGGTTTTTCCTGTCCGAAGGAAGATTTCATTAAGATAGATTCCTAGAAGGGGAATTACTGGGTCAAAGGGCTTGGGGATGATTTTTGGCTCCATACTTAGGTGCCCAGTTTGCCTTCTTGAAGAATTGTACACATTTTCAGAGCTCCTAACCTAGATGAATGTGCCCATTTCATCCAGCCTGGACAGCACAGGGTATCACCATTAAAGGAACTCCATCCATGTTCTAATTAATTGAGGGACAATATTACCTTATACTTGTCTCGGTGTACATTTTCAAATTGTGAATAAGGTTGGTTGGTTTTCTTTTTAATCCCTTTTTTCCTTCTTTTTTCTTTACTCTCTTTTCTTTTCCTCCTCCTCCTCCTCCTCCTCCTCCTCCTCCTCCTCCCTCTTCTGCCTAATTAGGTTCTCTCTTTTCTGGACTGTCGGTTCAGGGATGATTTTTTTAAGTTTTTTTTTTCTTTCTTTCTTTCTTTCTTTCTTTTTTTTTTTTTCCAAATAAGCAACCAGAGGCAGCTCTGCTTGAGGGTGAAGCCGCCTCCCAGTTTTCCCTCCCCCTTTACCACCCTCCCCCCCATAGCTCCTTCCACCAGGTCCAGTGACAATTGGATGATGCAGCCTAGATAATCATCCGATTCCAGAATGGGTGGCTGCATTTCTTTTCTGAAGGCAGCAAGGACACTGTGCCCCAGAATCATGCCCCCTTTGCTGTTGTTGTCCGCCTTCATTTTTTTAGTGAACGTCCTGGGAGGAGCCCCAGGACACAATCCCGACCGCAGGACGAAGATGATATCAATACACAGTCTGTCGGAGCTGGAGCGTCTGAAGCTGCAAGAGACTGCTTACCACGAACTCGTGGCCAGACATTTCCTCTCTGAATTCAAACCTGACCGAGGTGAGCTGGCCCCGGAACGTGGCGTCCCCGCCTTCGGGCGAGCGGACCCCCGGGCAGGACAGGCCGAGTCTGGGGTCCAGGAGGGTGGGAGGGGCTCTCGCTGGGTCTTGGCCCCCGCTCGGTTCCCCTGGCTCTCGGACCACTGAGGAAGCAGGAGTTGAAAGGTTTTGGTTGAATTGTGGAAGAGGTCAAGATTAGTGGAGTTGGGTCGAAGCCTGGGGGCTTGAGGGGCGGTCAGACAGACGGAGTGCAGGGACAGACAGGTGGACAGAGGGCAGGTGAAGAGACTGACGCACCAGGTGCGATGCGAGGAGTCAGAGCGAGGCAGAGGCGCAGAGGGACCCTCTGAAAAAGGACCAGGACGCACAGAGACGGCGTGCTCGAGAGATGGGAGATAGCGAGACAGCGAGAGAGACACCCGCCAATCCGGGCACAGAGCGGGAGCGCGGTGTGGGCGCGGGAGCGTCGGCGGGCAGTGATCTGTGATCGCTGTGATCGCTGCCCACCTCAGCCGGCTGCGGGTGAGCGAGCGGGACGAAGCCCTGGATGGGGTCCGAGCTTGCAGGGGGCTGGGGTTACGCATGGACTCGGCGGCCCGGGGGAGGCGGGACGGGGGCGCGCGGGCCGAGGGGCGTCCCCACCGCAGACTAAAGTGAGGGGGGCGGCGGGCACGCCGGGCACGCGCGGAGGCTGCGGCCTGAGGACGCCACGCGAGGGGCGAGGAGACCCCGCTGCTGGGGTCTGAGCGCGGGGACAGCGCGTGTCGCCGCTGCCAGGGCTGTGGCGCGGGGAGCCGACGGCAACCCAGGCGCGAGCGTGCCCGCAGGAACTCGGCGACCCCTACTTGCCGCCGCGCCGCAGGCGGAGCCCCTCCCCTAGCCTGTTGCACGGTCCAGGCGCCTCAGAGACCGCAATGGATGTCTGAAGCCCTGTGCGGAGCTGCTGCTGGTGCGTGACACAGTGCGCGCTGCGCACGAGAAGCCTCTGATCGTCCGATTCGGTTAAATTCTTGGAGTCTCTGAGGTGGTAAATAGGATTGGTCCCGTTGTCAAACGGGGAAACTGAGGCCGGGACGGAGCAAAACACTTTCAGCGGGCCGGACGGAGCTGCTTGTTCCCCTCCTCCCCCGCGGATCCATACATTGCGATGTTTTCGTCATTTATCAAATCCTATTTGTGTGAGTGTGCGTGTCTTTTCTCTTTCTCTTCCCATAGCTCTACCTATTGACCGTCCAAACACCTTGGAGAAGTGGTTTCTGATTCTGAGAGGACAGCAGAGGGGTGAGGGGCTCTCGTACTTTTCTTAGGAAATAAATGGGCTGTTGCCCCCCACCCCCGTATTGTGTCCCTGGCTACTGGAGACCCGGCGGTGCCCATGGCTTCTAGGGGCACTCGATCCCCCCCACGCCTACACACAACCCCATTGGGATGATTTCAGGAAATGGCGCACTCGCTGCAGACGCTGGGCGGTCCCAGCAGATCTGCCTAAGCCTTCTGCGTGGATCCACCCCAGACAGTCGCCCAGAAGAAACTGCCCTCATTGCTTCAAGGCTGTCACCCCCCTGGCAGGACCTAAGGACCTTGAGCCCCGTCGGGGTAATTTGAGTGGAGCTGAGTCCTTCCGCCAAACCACTGCAGGGTCTTTTTGGCTCCCTCCCCAGGGAGGGGCGCTGCGGGTCTGGAGGGGTGGGGTTGGTTGCAGGCTGCTGCTTAGAGGAGCGCTACAGCCCCTGCAGTTCTTCCTGATTTAAGCGCTGCGGAGCATTGACGTTTCTCGTTCTTTCTTTCCCTGGCTCCCCAGTCGTATCACTCAAGACGTTTGGCATTCGCCTGGAAGAGGTGCTGGTGAATGAGCTTACCCGCCGCAAACATCTTGAACTAACAGCCGCGATGCAGATTGAAGAATCCACCGGTCAGGCTTCGGGCCGTCGTCGGGGAAACGTGGTGCAAAGGATGTTTGGTCGCATCAGGCGCTTTTTCAGTCGCAGACGGGATGAGCCCACCTTGCCCCGGGAGTTTACTCGCCGTGGGCGTCGAGTGAGTTAAACCCTCCAGATTCCAAGCAGTGGCCGTCCCTGAGGTGTCCAGCAATGCGGTGTGGGAGGGTCAAGGCCTGTGACCTCAGAGGGAGGTAGGGCTGAACAGAACATGTGTGTGTGGAGGGGGGAGGGTGTAATTGGCTTCCCACGGAGAGAAGGTCTCCTGTTGTGAACGTGACACAATCCCCAGGAAGGTCCGAAGTGACCCTCCTGCTCCCCCACATTAAGATAGTCTGGACTTCTCCACAGGGTGCAGTATCCGTGGACAGCCTGGCTGAACTGGAGGATGGGGCCCTGCTGCTGCAGACCCTGCAACTTTCCAAGATTTCCTTTCCGATTGGCCAGCGACTTCTGGGATCCAAAAGGAAAATGAGCCTCAATCCGATTGCTAAACAAATTCCCCAGGTTGTTGAGGCTTGCTGCAGCTTCATTGAGAAACATGGTAAGGGGGCCTTGATGGTTTAATCAAGGATTAAATGATGGCTTAATCAAGGTAGGAAGCAATTAAAGGGAAAGAATCGTGTTCTAGAAATGGGTAGAGAAAAGAGGTCACAGGGTGAAGGATGGGAACATTCCCGGGCCACCAATTGGGAATGAGACTCCGGTGGGGAGAGGGGAAATGCTATGGGGAAGGGGACCAGAGATACTTAGCATCCCTTGGTCTTTTCTTTCAGGCTTAAGCACAGTGGGGATTTTCACCCTGGAATACTCGGCAGAGAGAGTGCGTCAGGTAAGCTGGCTCTGTTTACACCTATGTTCCCTGAGTGAGGGAAAAACGGTGTGTGTGTGTGGGGGGGGTCTCCTCCACAGATGTGAGGGGAGTTTCATGCCTGGTGGGGGGGATCAAGGTCTTCTTTCTAGCCCCTCAGGCACACCATATTGCCAGCGACCTCCACTGAAGCTTGAGACTTCTGGAAGGAAATGCCAGGAGGGAAGCATGTGATGAGCAGGAGACAGAGTCCATGTCTTCTCTCTCTTTTTTTTTCTTTTAGCTCCGTGAAGAATTTGATCAGGGTCTGGATGTAGTGCTGGATGACAATCAGAATGTGCATGATGTGGCTGCACTCCTCAAGGAGTTTTTCCGTGACATGAAGGACTCTCTGCTGCCAGATGATCTGTACATGTCCTTCCTCCTGACAGCAAGTGAGTCTTCTGCTGTAACTTTTCAAGCAAGGAGAAGAAATAGTACGGGAGTATGGCAGCCTAGGGACAGAGCTCTGGCTACAGGACCCCAGGGAACTAAAACAGAATAAACATCAGAAGAGGGAAACACCTATCCAGATTACTTTCCCTATATCTCTGAATAGTCCATTGTAAGTCTATTGTTTGGAGATTTCTCTAGAACTTCTTAAAGCTATGTGTGTCATCTCATGGCAAAGAAGGACCTAGGTTCTGTAGAAGGGGTCTGCTTTTGATGGGAGCACTTCTTGCTTTTAGGGCTCCTGAGCTCAAATGCTTTGGGAATGAGCAAAGACAAGATGCCTGGGTACTTCCTCCATAGCCCTTCCTCAGTTTTCAAGCATAATAACATCTCTTTGGGTATTAGGCTGCTGTCAAGGCTAGCCCCTGAGCCAACCCCTGCTTTCCTTCTTCTAGCTCTAAAGCCACAGGATCAGCTTTCTGCCCTGCAGCTGCTGGTTTACCTGATGCCACCCTGCCACAGTGATACCTTGGAGCGTCTGCTGAAGGCCCTGCATAAGATCACTGAGAACTGCGAGGACTCCATTGGCATTGACGGACAGTTGGTAAAAACCTCTGGAGAAGGGTAGTGAGAACTGTAGTAGGGGACATGTATGGGAGTGTATGAGAGAGAGAGACAGAGACAGACGGTAGAAGGAATCAAGAACAAAAGGAGACATTCATATTTGTGTTACTTCCATTATTGTTTCAGAGTTGATCACTATCTGCTTTCCTTTCTGTAGGTTTCAGGCAACCGTATGACTTCCACCAATTTGGCTCTGGTGTTTGGATCTGCTCTCTTGAAAAAAGGGAGATTTGCCAAGAGGGAGTCCAGGAAAACAAGATTGGGGATTGACCACTATGTTGCTTCTGTCAATGTGGTCCGTGCCATGATTGATAATTGGGATATTCTTTTCCAGGTAAGGGGAGCTGTTGGACAAACTTCTTTCATAGCTTTCTCTTTCCTATTCACAAGTCAAGTGAGGGCTTACATGCATCCCTGAAGGTAGCCAAAGCAGGCAGCCACTAAGTCTTCCAGAAATTCCTCCTACATTCAGCGGTCAATGGTGTCTTCAGTCCTGGATACCTGATAGAGAGGAGTATATATTTTAAAATGTTGTGTAATAAAGGCTAACATTGCTCATTTTACCCTCAGGTACCTCCCCACATTCAGAAGCAGGTTGCTAAGCGTGTGTGGAAATCCAGTCCTGAAGCCCTGGATTTTATCAGACGCAGGAATTTGAGGAAGATCCAGTGAGTGTTTTCTTGGATTGTTTAAGCTTAGCCTGAATCAGAATCTCCTATGGTGGCTTCCAATCTGACACCACCATCATGTTAGGCAACCCAAGTATGAAAACTGACTTGCTTTTTCAAATTCATTCCCACCCAGGAGTGCTCGCATAAAGATGGAAGAGGATGCTTTACTTTCTGATCCAGTGGAAACTTCTGCCGAAGCCCAGGCTGCTGTCCTTGCTCAGAGCAAGCCCTTTGATGAAGGTCAGTTCCCTGCTGCAGGTCTGGCCCTTGCTGAAGGTCAGGCCCTTCCTGAAGGCCAGGTCCTTGCTGAAGATGAGCCCCTTGAGGAAGATAAATCCTCTGAAGAAGATGTGTCAGGCCATGAAGAGCTAGTATTTGAATATTTCAGTCAAGGAGTAATCTTTGGAGAAATTCAAGGTCTTGAGATCCCAAATGACCTTGAGATTCAAGGCCTACATCTTAAATGCATACCAGAGCTTGAAGAAGAAGAAGAAAAAGAAGATGATGATGATGACAACGATGATGATACCCTAAATTTTGATGATCTTCTTCCCCTTGAAGATATTTTAGACCCTGATGATGAAATTCCTGAACTCATTGAAATCCCAGACTTTGAAGAAATACCATATTTTGATATGGTCCCAGACCCTGAAGGAGCCCCAGATGTGCAAGAAATCCCAAATCCTGGAGAAAACTCAAACCAAAGCCTTGAAGAAGGGCCAGATTTTGAAGACAACCAAAACCTTGACCTTGCAGGAATTCCCTATCTTGATGTAATCCCAAACAATGAAGATACTGATGAAATCCCAGACCATGCATATGCTTCAGAAAATGATGAAAACCCAGATTCTGAAGATCCCAATCTTGAAGAGTTCCAAGCTCTGGATAAAGTCCCAAATGATGAATCCTCAAATGCTGAAGCAATTCCAGGCCACGAAGAAGCCCCAGAGGTCAATGGGATTTCAGATTCTGATGAAGACCCTGATTTTGAAGAAGTCCCAGCTCTTCATGTGGTGCCAAGCCCTGAGGAAGCCCCTGGGGGTCATGAAATACTAAATTATGAAGAATCCCCAGAGGTTAATGGACTCACAGACTCTGAAGAAGATCCCAATCTTGAAGAGGTGCCAGCTCTTGATGGAGTCCCAAATAATGAAGAAACCTCAGACACTGAAGAAATTCCAGATCAGGAAGAAACTCCAGAATTCAGTGGAATTGCAGGTTGTGAGGAAGACTCCAACCCTGAAAAGGACCCAACTCTCCATGTGGTAACGAACCCTGAAGATGTCTTTGATTTTTATGAAATTCAAGACCAGGGAGAATCCTCAGATGCTGAAGAAATCCCAGGACACGAAGAAGCCTCTGATGTTGGTGGAATCCAAGACTCTAAAGAAAACCCCAGTCTTGAAAAAGACTCAATTCTTAATGTGGTTCCAGAGTCTGAGGATGCTCAAATTCACAACAAAATTCCCAGTTCTCAGAAAGACCAAGCTAATACTTTTGAAGAGAATGAAGTTACCAGTTTGGTTCCAGAGCCTGAAGATGTCTCCATTCTCAACACAATTCCAGACCCTCAGCCAGGCCTTACTGTCAGTCTTGAAGAAATCATGAATGTGGAAGCTGTCCCAATGCCTAATGATCTTGACTCTAGAGAAGTTTGGAATCCAAAGGCAATAAAGTTCCACAAAGATGCAGATGTTACATTTCCTGTAAATACCACCCACCTTAAAAACATGTCTTAGCCTAGTCAAATCATGGACCACAAATCCTCCCCAGAGTCTTTGATGACCAATACCTGCTTTCTCCCCTTCATAAAATGCTGTAAGCTTTCGGCTCCAGCTTTTACTCATTTGCTTAGTAAAATTAGGCTGGTTGTAGGGTTGTGGTTGTTAGGAGGCCACCTTCTTCCCCACCTGCTGGATGGTATTGTTCATTTGCTGTAAGCACGGGGTATCTGTCTCACTTGTTTTGTTCTCTAACCCAGCCCCACCCCAACCACCTTCTACAGGGGACCTAGATTTAGAGATCGGTGTTCCACTGTTAGGCTGTAGTTTTCTTAACATGTCAAATGGGGATAATCTTTCCTACCTTAGCTTCTTGCTTCATATTGTATTTGAAGTGCAAAATTAGGTCTTAGTCCCTTGTGTGCTGTGCAAAGTATGAAGTCTAGAAACATAAGAAGTTAACACTGTTACTATTTTCCAGGTTCCTCTGAGGAGCCAGCTGTGCCTCCTGGCAATGCCCGTTCCCATGACGATGAGGAAGGAGCGGGTAACCCCCCCATTCCGGAGCAAGACCGCCCATTGCTCCGTGTGCCCCGGGAGAAGGAGGCCAAAACTGGCATCAGCTACTTCTTTCCTTAGATGTTTTTCCTTCTATAAGGTGCCAGACAGGGGAAAAGGGTGGGGGTAGACCTGAGATGTCACAGAAAACATTGAGGGTAAAGATCTGAGGGTAAGAAGGATTTCCACCTGATGCTCGGGTCAGGCTGAGAATTCCAAACACACTGTCAGCCCCTTCACTGGGGATGTTTGGTCCCTTCAGCTAGTAAAAGCAGAGATGTTTCTGTGTCATGCGCAGGCTCCCTGGTGCTACCTTGCCTTTCTCTTTTACCCCTGATCCTGGCTTTCCCACACTACAGCCTGTCCTTTAATAGATGTGACATTTGTGGTAAACACCTTGTCCCAGAGAAGCTCACAAATCTCGAGGTGCTTTCCCTCCCCCAAAAAAGGGAATTGCATGTTTTTCCTGACTTTCCTTCCCTCCTCCCGAGAGCTCAATTGGAAAGGCCCTCAAGAGGCATGCTAGGATGTTAGGTCAGCCTATTGACAGCTGACAAACAATTAATGCTAAACCATGTCACACCAACTCATAGCCATGTCCCCGCAGCAACTCCACCACCTCAGGATTTTTTGCCCCCCCCCCAAATTATTTAGACCAATGACTCATTAAACAGCCACCCCCAAAATTCTGTGCAGTTTTGCTCAGGTCACGCTAACAGGGAAACCTCAAATGTAAGCCTAACTAGCCTTCTGGGGTCAAAAGTTAGAGGAAAAATTTGATTTTATTACCTAGATCTGTTTTACGGACAGCTGGGTTCACACCCTGTTGTCAGCAAAACAGCTAGTTAGGTAGAGACACATAGTTCCAAGTAGTTAAAGTCACCTGATTCCAAACATTCTTACCTATCGTCTCTGTAGCTCCTCTATGCAGGACGGTACAAATTTGCGGGACATGGTCTGGTAACATGCAGATATGGGTTATGTATGACATGCAAAATTATAGCTGATATTGAGGGGTAACAACTGCTAAGTTCATAGAATGAAGAATGTATTGTATTGAGGGATAGAAATTGATCACACAATGGGTAACAACCGCAGAGCTCGAAGATTTGTGATTGTTAAAACTTCTCTGGCATTTAATCATTAATAAACATCTGTGTTGTGACAGCAGCATACTCATGGCTTACTCTGTGTGTGTGTTTCAAATTTGAAAATTGGATTGATGAGTTGGGAAACTCTGACTGGAGCTGAAGGGAAAGAGAGGTAGTGAAGAGGGATAAAGGAGAGGGGGTGACATGGAATAAAGGGATGGGGAGGAATGGACTAAAGCAGGGTGGTGTGGAATAAAGAGGAGGGGTTATGGGGAATAAAGGGAAAAAGTGACAGAATAAAGGAGAGGGGTAAGGAATAAAGAAGAGAGATGTTGGGGAATAGTGTTGGAGGTGATAAAGACAAAAAAGAAGGGGTTATGGGGAATAAGGAGGAGATGATGGAGTATGAAGGCAAAGGGTGATGTGGGATAAGGGTGGGTGATGTGAGGTAAAGGGATGGAGGTGATGGGGACAAAAGGTGGGTGATGGGGACTAAAAAGCAGAGGTGATGGAGAATAAAGAGGTGGAGGTGATGGGGCATAAAGGGAAAGGTGAGTGACATGGAATAAAGTGGAGGGGGATGTGCAGTAAAATGGAAGAAAGGGGAAGAGCTGTAGTTGAATAAAGAGAATGAGGGGCACCTGGGTGGCTCAGTCAGTTAAGTGTCCGACTTTGGCTCAGGTCATGATCTCACAATTTGTGGGTTTGAGCCCTGCATCAGGCTCTGTGCTGACAGCCCAGAACCTGTAGCCTGCTTCAGATTGTGTCTCCCTCTCTCTCTGCCCCTCCCCTGCGCGCTCTCTCTCTCTCAGAAATAGATAAAACATTAAAAAAATTTTAAAAAGTAAAGAGAATGAAAGAGTTAAAGTAGGATAAATGGTTGAGGAGGGATGAAGGAGTAGCAGGGGAAAGAATGAAGCTTAATTGAGGAGGGCCTCTAAAGGTGAAAGGAGGGGAGATAAAGGGAGAGATAACTAGATGTTCTCAACTGAAAAATCCCTTTTGGATTGGTGAAAAATGAGAACCTGAAAACATCTGGAAATACATGATTTTCAGGGGCAAGAGAAGAACGTGTTGCAGTTTGATTGACAGGACCTCCACCTTTCTTGAAAAGTTAAGACTTCATGACAGGCTTGGAAATTTCCCGTGTCAGGCACAGGGCCCCAGAAAGTGAAATGTTGTATTATTTAATTTTGTACACTTTGATTTAGGATATTTCCTCAAATAGAATTTTACAGAGAGCAGAAATGTAATAACATTGGTTCCCTCCCATAATAATTATCATAATTATTACAGTAATCATTGACATATATTGAGTTATTCCAAAGTGTCTGACACTGGATTTGAAGCTTTACATGCATCATGTTATTTAATATTCACAACTCTATGAAGTACATGCTACTGTAATCCTAATTGTTTCCTGGAAGGCAGTGAGGTACAGATAAGTCAAATAATCTGGTCAAATTAAATATCTGGTTAGTGGAAAAGAGCCAGTCTCCAAAGCTGGGGTGTTTCATCACTAGATTATCCTGGGCCATCCATTTTAGAAATCTTCCTCTGACAAGAAGATGCTTTATGATGTTTTGGGGGAGTTTTTCGAATGGGATTTGCACTTTTAACAAGCAATCCTCCTTCTTCATAGGTCCTTTCTCTCTAGATAGGAGAAGCTTCTAGACAACAACTGTGCTAGCTCAGGCAGGCCCTAGTGTATACATCTAGGGCCCATATGTATTAAAGCCAGTGGGAAATGTGGAGCTCATTTATCCCAACTCTGTTCTTATTTAAATGGTCACACAAAGGTTTATGTTGGCAAACAGCTGACTTGAGTCCAGAGACCTGGATTAATATTCAGACAAACCTTCTGACTGCCATTCCAGAACTTTACGGGGCCAAAATAGTAAAATGTGTCCCCAGAACAGTTTGCCTGTGCTTTCCCCACTCAGCTTAAAAAACAACCAATAAACCAGATAATAAGCAGGAAAGTCCACTGTTTCAAAACATTCCTTTTACTTCCCGGCCTTCCCTGAAACCAGTTTTTTCCCCCCTGATCTTATTGTTTGCCTTGCATTCCTCCCCGACGCTGACTGCTAACCAGAGGGTTTGAGCTGAGAGTAGCAAATGGATGTGGGAATTATCCCCACCCTCCCTCATACTCTAAGGGTGATATCAAGAGGCTTCCTTGACACTCCAAGCCCTGGTCTCATCCTAAGTGGCCTCGACAATATCCACATGGAAGACAAATTCTGCACAGCCTGGTCTCACGCTCACCACCTTGTCCTTTAACTTCTTAGCACTTCAACCAGCCATTTGGCATCACTGGGCATGACTGGACTTCTGAGGGATCCAGTTCAATACCCCATTGTGACTCGAATCTCCTAACAGTGGCTGGGTCCCACACATCTGCTACTTGGCTTCATTGAGATACCTAATGCCTCAAGCCTTTCCTTTCCTCTTTACTTCTTCTCTCATCCAGCCAGATGTCAGGGCATATCGATTTAGAACTGGCCACCTCTTCAACCGTTTGCCCTCCAAATACCACATCTGCATTAGTTAGTCTCAGGTTTGAGGTCCTTCAAACATCTGATCTCTCCAACCTCACAATGACCACTGCGAGAGACAGGAGTAGCGCTCCATATATTGGTGCTTCTAATAGAAGTCTAGCCTTAGCTGGTTCCTCAGTCCAGTCAGTAATGCTTTCATGTGCGCCAGGTTGTCTTCTTTTCTAAATCTCCACTCATTCGTATTCCATTTCTACATCATTCCCCTCAAATAGCAGCACTATTCACTTGAACTCATCTAAAATACTTCCTCTCTTCTGCTTTATTCTGGTTTACTTTCGTCTTCTAGTTTCTTTAGGTAGCAACTTACTGATTGTAAGTTTTCTAACGTAAGCTTTCAGTACTTTTGCAGTGTACCACAAGTTTGATATGTTGTATTTTCACTCTGTTCAGCATATTTTTTTTATTTCCCTTGAGACTTTCTCATTGACCCACAGATTATTTAGATGGTTAGTTTCATTTCCAAGTATTTTGGAAGTTTTCTGGTATCTTTCTGCTATTGATACCTAGTGCTGCCTGGCTCACCTGATGTAGGTGGGACTTCCATTTGATTTAGAGGAAAAATGAGCCTTCCTGGCCCACCTTCTATTGCTAAAGCGAAGCTGGTGTTCAGGAAATGGCAGGCCTGGGTCATCTTTTTCTGTTGGGCAAGAGGTCAAAAGATGTCCTGATACTGTGCTGTTTCTCCAGTCCTGGGATCCCAAACCAGAACACTTTTCTCTGTCATCTTTCAGAATTCTTCTTTGGTTTGTTCTGAAGTTATTTCCAGGCTTTCTAGTAAGTTGTGCTTAGTAGGCAGGGGCCTGGGAGAAAAGTTCCATATGATCTCATCCTGAGAATAAGTCTCCTGGATGTATATTAAAAAAAAATATTTAAATTCCTAGCAGTGCTATTGATGGGTCATAGGGGAGTTCTATTGTTAATTCTTTTTGAGGAGCCTCCACACTGTTTTCCAGAGGGGCTGCACCAGGATACAGGAGTGCTGATGCATAGGGGCACATGTACCCCAATGTTCATTGCAGCACTCTCCACAATAGCTAAAACACGAAAAAAGCCTAAGTGTCCATCAACTGGCAAATGGATCCAGAAGATGTGGTTTATCTATCCAATGGAATACTACATGGCAATGAGAAAGAATGAAATCTGGCCATGTGTAGCAACATGAAGGGAACTTGAGGGTGTTATGCTGAGCAAAATAAGTCAGGCAGAGAAGGACAGATACCATATGTTTGCAGGTATAGGAGAATTAGGAGGAACTTAATGGAGGACCGTGGGGGAGAAGAAGTGGGGAAAATAGTGGGGTAGAGGGAGGGAGGCAAACCATGAGAGACTCTTGAATGCTGAGAACAAACTGAGGGATGATGGGGGGGAGGGGAAGGAGGGTGATGGGCATGGAAGAGGGCACTTGCGGATATGAGCACTGGGTGTTATATGGAAACCATCTTGACCATAAACTATTAAAAAAAGCAACATAAAGGAAAATAAAATAATAAAATAAAAATAAAATCATGTGGTCTTGACAAAAAAACTCATTTAGATAGAATTTCCATATCATAAAACCTATAGTTTAAAGTGTACAATTCAATATTTTTAGTATATTCACAGAGTTGTGCAACCATTGCCATAATCTAATTGAATCTTATTTCCACCACTCCAAAAAGTAACCACATACCATTAACAATCAATCTCTATTCCCCCCTTGCCCAAATCTAGGCAACCACTAAACTACTTTCTATCTCTGCAGACTTCCCTGTTCTGGGCATTTCATGTAAATGAAATCATACAACATGTGATATATTGTGATTGGCT